TTAACTGACTGAGCCACGCAGGTGCCCCTTGTTTCCATTAAAAAAAAAAAAAATTAATGTTTATTTATTTTTGAAAGAGAGCACAGCAGGGGAGGGGCAGAGAGAGAGAGGGAGACACAGAATCCGAAGCAGGCTCCAGGTTCCAAGCTGTCAGCACAGAGCGTGACGCCCGGCTCGAACCCACCAACCCGTGAGATCATGCCCTAGGCCAAAGTTGGACACTTAACTGAATGAACCACCCAGGGGCCCCCCCCCACCTTGTTTTCTTTTTTAAAGGTTCTATTATGGGGGGGTTGGGGGGGGAGAATTTTTTTTCAAACTTTTATTTAAATTCTAGTTAATTAACATATGGTGTAATATTGGTTTCAAGAGTGGAATTTAAGTGATTTATCACTACAACACCCAGTGCTCATCACAAGTGCCCTCCTTAAAGCCCATCACCCATTCAGCCCATTCTCCCCCACCTCCCTCCATCAACCCTCAGTAGTTCTCTATCATTAAGAGGCTTACAGTTTGCTTCTCTCTCTTTTTTTTCTCCCTTTCCATATGTTCACACATTTTGTTTCCTAAATTCCACATATGAGTGAAATCATATGGTATCTGCCTTTCTGTGACTGACTTATGTTGCTCAGCATAATACATTCTAGCCCCATCATTGCAAATGGCAAGATTTCATTCTTTTTGGCTCTTTGTTCTATGTTCCCTGGAATATTACTCCTTTGTCGAAGTCCAGACTGAACACAGTACCCTGTGTCGAAGTCCAGACAGAACACAGTACTGAACACAGTACTAAACACTAGTACATTTATAGACCTGGATCTCTCACTACTTAATATTTTGGAATTAGTTAAGACAGAAATTTGATAGCTTGGTTAGAGGAAAGGGGAAACCCGTGGCTTGATATGTCTGAACTGAGCGCCATAGTCGTCTGGGTAAGAGTTGTGAAACAATCTCTGTGCATAAAAAAAAAAAAAAAAAACTAGTTGAACATCACACAGACAACAATTAAATCATAAGAAACAATTGATATGTGGAGAAAGATCTTTGGTACAGATTGAAAAACATCTTTTCATGGCGATATCTATATGATCAAGAGAGTTAATTTTTTGTTTTTGTTTTACTACTGCCGGAAACTTGCCAGTGGTAACTTATTCATCCCATTTAAGGTCACTCTGTAGTTTCCTTTCCCAGGTCTTATTGTTAAATACCAAAAGACATTTTTGAACCGTACATTTGATCAGATCGCTAGCTTTTCCTGCTTTATTTGTCTTGAACGCCTTTGAAGAAAACAAAACACCTGAATGTTTTTAATAGTGTTGGGAAAACTGGACAGCTACATGCAAAAGAATGAAAGTGGACAATTTTCTTACACCATATCCAAAAGTAAACCCAAAATGGATGACAGACCTTAAAGTGAGACCTGAAACCAGAAAAATCCTAAAAGAGAGCACAGACAATAATTTCTTTGACATTGACCACAGCAACACCTTTCTAGATAGGTCTCTTGGGGCAAAGGAAACAAAAGCCAAATGAACTATTGGGACTTCATCAAGATAAAAAGCTTCTGCACAGCGAAGGAAAAAAGAAACCATCAACAAAACTAAAATACAACCTACTGAATAGAAGATATCGTGACGTATATGATAAAGGGGTTAGTATCCAAAATACGTAAAGAACTGATACAACTCAACACCCAAAAACCAAATAATCCAATTTAAAAATGAACAGGAGACATGAACGGACATTTATTTCTCCAGTTAAGACATACCGATGGCCAACGTCAATCATCACCAGGGAAATACAAATCAAAACCACAATGAGATGGGTATTGAGCAGGGCACCTGCTGGGATGAGCACCGGGTGTTGTATGGAAACCAATTTGGCAATAAATTTCATATAAAAAAAACCCACAATGAGATATCACCTCACACCTGTCAGAATAGCTAACATCAAAAACACAAGAAACAAGTGTTGGCAAGGCTGTGGAGAAAAAAGAACCCTGTTGGTGGAAATTCAAACTAATGAAGTCACTGTAGAAAACAGTATGGAGTTTTCCCAAAAAGTTTAAAATAGAACTACCCTGGGGCGCCTGGGTGGCGCAGTCGGTTAAGCGTCCGACTTCAGCCAGGTCACGATCTCGCGGTCCGTGGGTTCGAGCCCCGCGTCAGGCTCTGGGCTGATGGCTCCGAGCCTGGAGCCTGTTTCCGATTCTGTGTCTCCCTCTCTCTCTGCCCCTCCCCTGTTGATGCTGTGTCTCTCTCTGTCCCAAAAATAAAATAAACGTTGAAAAAAAAAATTTTTTTTAAACAAAACAAAATAAAATAGAACTACCCTATGATCCGGCAATTGCACTACTGGGTTTTACGCCAAAAATACAAAAATATTATTCAAAGGGATACATGCACCCCAATGTTTATAGCAGAATCATTTACAATAGCCAAACTATGGAAGCCGCCCAAGAATCCGTCAACTGAGAGATGGTATGTATATACACGATGGAATATTATTCAGCCATAAAAAGAATGAAATCTTGCCATTTGTGACAACATGGATGGAGCTAGAGGGTATAATGTTAAGTGAAATAAGTCAGCCAGAGAAAGACAAATACCGTATGATTTCACTCATATGTGAAATTTTCACTCATATGTGGAATTTAAAAAAACAAATGAGCAAAAGAAACAGAAAAGAGGGGTGCCTGGGTGGGTCAGTTGATTGAGTATCCGACTTCAGCTCAGGTCATGTTCGCACAGTTTGTGGGTTCGAGCCCCATGTCAGGCTGATAGCTCAGAGCCTGGAGACTGCTTTGGATTCCTTGTCTCCCCCTCTCTCTCTGCCCCTCCCCTACTCATGCACGCGCTCTCTCTCTCAAAAATAAAAAATAAAATAAAAAATGGGGGTGCCTGGGTGGCTCAGTCTGTTAAGCATCCAACTCTCCATTTCGGCTCAGGTCATGATTTCACGGGATTCACGGGTTCAAGCCCCATGTCAGGTTGCATGCTGACACTGCAGAGCCTGCTGGGGATTCTCTGTCTCCCTCTCTCTCTGCCCTTCCCCCACTTGTGCTATCTCTGTCTCTCTCAAAATAAGTAAATAAGCTTAAAAAAAATAAATTAAAAAAATAAAAAATAAAATAAATATGTATTTTTTTAATTTTAAAAAGAGGGGCTCTTGGGTGGCTCAGTTGGTTAAGTGTCCAACTTCAGCTCAGGTCATGATCTCACTTTCATGGGTTCAAGCCCTGCATCTGGCTCTGTGCTGACCGCTCAGAGCCTGGAGCCTGCTTCGGGTTCTGTGTCTCCCTCTCTCTCTGCCCCACCCCTGCTTGCACTCTGTCTCTCTCTGTCTCTCAAAAATGAATAAACGTTAAAAAAAATGTTTTTTTGCTTTAAATTAAAAAAAGAAAAATGTTAGTTTCTAATAGTTTTACCAAACTTTATTTCACAAGGCAAGGTAGAGGGATTGCGTTAATAACTGCCCCATGGCCCCTCATGAGTAAGATTAGGGAATAAATAAGTAAGTTATTTCTAATGTAACATCCTAAAGGGAGAAAGAGCAATGAACTAGATCCAATTCTGATGAGAGGTGGTGAGAAATCTTTGCAAGAACACTGAACCCTTGTCACGGAGAAGAGTTGCCCACATGCTTCCTGCTCAGGGGAGAATTCAGGAGTGCACCGGCCTCCTTGGTTTGTCCTTGAATAAGTCAATGAGATTGTGCGCCCCTTAGGAGCCAAGCCATGGGGGCCCAAGTGGAATCATTATCATTACATCCTTAACCAAGTGGGATCACTACCATCACATTCAGAATCAAGAGACACGCCCCTCCAACCCAGAGCCAAAGGTAAGAGATCATAAGGAGATGGGAGTTTGTTTCCACCACTTCCTTCTGTGAACAGTACATCTAGATTAACCTGACTCTTTGCCCTTTTCAAGTCAGTTACCGAATGCACACCTGGGGGGGGGGGGGGGGCGTTAGGGAAGGATTAGAAACTACTGTTTCTTGCCCTTAATTCTTCTAATTAACTCATGGGCTAACGCAAACTACCAGAAAAAGAATATCTTAATTTTTATTTTTTATTTGTCCATTTATTTATTTAATATTCACTGGTACAAGCACTATTTTAGGTGTGTGGGATACAATGGTGGATGAGATACAGTCCATTGCCCCCCCTCCCCCCAAAAAAGACTATGAAAGAGAAAGACAAGAGATTACAACTCGGTGTCATTGACAGTACAGACTGATGGTCCCCTTCAGTATTCCCTCCTACATCTTTTTTTTATTATTAAATATAATTTATTGTCAAATTGGTTTCCATACAACACCCAGTGCTCGTCCCAACGGGTGCCCTCCTCAATGCCCATCACCCACCTTCCCCTCTCCCCCCACACCCTCTGTCAACCCTCAGTTTGTTCTCAGTACTTAAGCGTCTCTTATGGTTTGCCTCCCTCCCTCTCTGTAACTTTCCCCCCTCCCCGCCCCCCGGCCCCTCCCCCATGGTTCTCTGTTAAGTCTCTCAGGATCTACATATGAGTGAAAACATATGGTGTCTGTCTTTCTCTGCCTGACTTATTTCACTTAGCATAATACCCACCAGTTCCATCCGCGTTGCTACAAATGGCAAGATTTCATTCTTTCTCACGGCCAACTAGTATTCCGTCGTGTATATAAACCACATCTTTATCCATTCGTCAGCTGATGGACATTTAGGCTCTTTCCATAATTTGGCTATTGTTGAGAGTGCTGCTATAAACATTGGGGTACAAGTGCCCCTATGCATCAGCCCTCCTATATCCCTTGGGTAAATTCCTGCATCTTTAAACAGCACCTTCTCTCCTCATCTATGTCCAAACCATACTTAAGAGAAATAATAAAGTTTTTCTTTATTTTTGAGGCATTCGTGCCTAATTTGGGAGTCAAGCACATAAACTGCTTCTGTAAATTTTCCTCTATCAGACTGACCATGATTGTGAAATTAGCATGCAGATCATGCACTCACAATATGGAAAAATATGCTCATACATTGGTTTATTCATCCACACGTACGCATACCCAGAACAATGAAATTCAGCCAAGGCCAAGTCTCTAAGTGGTAGAGAGCTGAGAAGCAGAAAGCATCACCCTGTTTTTATCCACTTTCTACGTGTCACTATTGGCAGTATTCTTTAGAATAAAGCTTTATTTGCAAAGGGCCATTGTTAGGAGAAAAACATATTATCAGGGATAAGTAACATGCCAGCCTATTAGCACACATCAAAACTCTGTAATACATTAGCAATAGTATATATTTGCATGGATATCGTCGGACCAGTTCAGACCATAACACAGAAAAGGTACATTTTTGACAGAGATGGTGGGAATGGGGGTGAAGAAGGCAGCATCAGTCACTACTGTGAGAAGTACAAAAACAATATTTTCTTTCACAAATTTTCCTAGATCTGATCTTTAAATTGTTAATATCTAACTGTTCTCAAAGAGAGTCCGGCAATAAACCATCAGTCCCAGGGAAATCGCATTAATCTTACATCTAATGCCATGTTCTAGAAGCTTCGGCTTTCACTAAATATACACTCATGACTATCCCAGCACCCAGAGGCTGGCTCCCCCTTTTTAGGGAGCCATATGACAGATCCACCCATCAAAGTCTGACCTTCTTACAGACCCACCGTAAAAGAGCCTCACAGCTAGAGCCTAGGAAACCACTTTTGCTGAAGGTACCACACTTCTGTATCAAGCTGTTTGAAATAATCCTGTAAGAAATCAGAAAAGCCAATCAATTAAGGTAACATGAGAGTAAAGGACTAGCAAGACATAAGGGATGAAAACTGAGCAAGTTCTTTCTCCCTATTCAGTTCCCACTTTTCTCGACTCCCAAAACAGCAGAATAAAAATTGTTCATTAGCCTCCCTTTAAACTATCATCTCTGATATGCGCCTGGGTGACTCAGTCGGTTAAGTGCCCCACTTCAGCTCAGGTCATGATCTCGCCATTGGTGGGTTCGAGCCCCGCGCCGGGCTCTGTGCTGACAGCTCAGAGCCTGGAGCCTGCTTCAGATTCTGTGTCTGCCTCTCTCTCTGCCCCTCCCCTGCTCGCGCCCTGTCTCTCTCTCTCTCTCTCTCAAAAATAATAAACATTAAACAAAAATGTTTTAATAAAAAAATTAAAAAATAAATAAAATGTCAACCTTTTTTTTTTTTTGCTCTTATCCACTGTTCATTTCCTTCCTTGTTCCCTATTTCCTTTCCTTACCCTTTCCTCTCCTCTTCCTCTCTTATCCTTGATCTATTTCCCTAGTCACATAATTTTTCTTCCCCTTTTCTCTTTTTCTTTCATTGTCTTGAACCCCCTTACCTTGAAAAGTTTAGGGTTGACCCATCTTCCCATCTCCAGCCAGAATTGTTCCTCAGACCAATCCAGTAAAAGTCCTCTTTGAGGAGAGGTTGAAGCAGGCTCTGAGAGAGAGATTCAAGGTGATGGAAAAAGATAAGAAAACGCAGAACACCAAAGAGGAGATTCAGTGTCATGATCAAACAATTATTCCTTATACACCCTCTCATTACATTATGGACTGAATATTTATTGCTCTCAAAATCCGTATGTCAAAGCTCTAACCTCCAACATGATGGCACCTGGGGGTGGGGCCTTTGGAAGGTAATTAGGTTCAGATGAGGTCACGGGGCCCTCACTACTGATGCAATTAGCGTCCTTGTAAGAAGAGGCCAGAGTTCAGTCTCTCTCCACGAGGAGAGGCCACAATGAGAGGGCAGTTGTCTGCATGTCAGAAAGAAGGTTCTCACCAGAAACCAAACCCGTCAACACCTTGATCTTGGACTTCCCAGCCTCCAGAACTGTGAGACGTAAATGCCTGTGGTTTAAACCACCCAGTGATACTCTGGTTAGCAGTTCAAGCTGCTTAAGACCACCACCTACTCCTAACAACTAATCTCTCTTTTAAATTCTAATTCTAGGGGCACCTAGATTCAGCTCTTGATTCAGCTCAGGTGTGATCTCACGGTTCATGGGATCGAGCCCCGCATCAGGCTCTGCACTCAGTGCACAGTCCTTCTCCCTGTTTCTGTGCCCCTCCCCTGCTTGTGCCCTCTCTCTTTCTCTCTCAAATAAATAAATATATAAATATTTAAAAAATTTGATAAGCCCTTAATTCTAGAGATGTGTTGCAAAGTGGAGCATTTCCTAGAATTAAACTTTATGTCTGTACTTGCATTCTTATAACATGAAAGATAATATTGGTATTCGTGTAATGAATATACTTTACAATAAATAAACAACACCTCGGCTTTGCAAACTGCTCTTGTTACAGAGGTTTGTCTTGTGATGCTGAATTTTCAACGTGACGTTAATGTTGACAAGTATTATGTTTCTTCAGGAGCAGGAAGGACAAAAGTGTAAGTCTGACCAACGTAGCTGTAAGACCAACCTACTGACAGGAAAGTTACCTATAAAATAAGAAGCTCAAGAGTTGTGTATGTTTCAGAGTACGAATGAACATGCAAAGGTATTCATATGTGTCTTAACAGATACCAAAGCGTCTGGGTTACAAGCGGTGGGCAAGTACAAATGTGTGCAGTAGCATCTGGGGACATCGATAACTGATATCTCTGTGTGTCCAGAAAGTATTGCATGTATAGTGAGATGATTACCTGGCATCCTCTCTATACTTCTTTTTTTTTTAAACATTGATTTATTTATTTAGGGGAGACTGGCGCAGAGAGAAAGGGGGAGACAGAGAATCTGAAGCAGGCTCTGAGCTGTCAGCACACAGCCAGATGCGGGGCCTGAACCCACAAACCATGAGATCATGACCTGAGCCAAAGTCAGACACCCAACTGACCGAGCCACCCAGGTGCCCCTCTATACTCTACTTCTTATTCTTAATCCTTGAGGTCACTACAAATCCTCGGTGAAAGAAAATGCAAAACTAATAAGAAGGCTTCAGATGAGACCTCCCTTCTATTTTGTTCCCAGGAATCTTGTGTTTTAGTGGTTTTGTTGGGTTACTTGGTTGGTTTGGTTTTTCTGAGTTAGAGTTTGACCTGATAGATGTTAAAGAAAAAGGCCGTATAACTTGTTCCCGTGATCACGTATTTCCTGACTGATCATTTGTCTCAAGCCTCCTTCCTCCTTCCTATTGTAGGAAGGTTTGAGATAACCTGCCATCGGCAGCCCATCAACAGATCACATCATATTCTCAAATTCAGTGGACGTGCTTTGATCCCTCACCTCACTCTGTAAACCTCTCCCCTTTGGAAGTACAGAAACTCAAAACATGAGCAGTGACAGATGTTATTCCACAGTAATTTAGTGCTAGAATTTGGACCAGAACCCAAGGTCTTGCCCTGGTACCCAAGGCCTTGGCATGACCTCTACTAAGATAATCCATCTCTCTGCAACTCATGTCTCTCTTTAAACTGTGCTTTCTCGGGGCGCCTGGGTGGCACAGTCGGTTAAGCGTCCGACTTCAGCCAGGTCACGATCTCGCGGTCCGTGAGTTTGAGCCCCGCGTCCGGCTCTGGGCTGATGGCTCAGAGCCTGGAGCCTGTTTCTGATTCTGTGTCTCCCTCTCTCTCTGCCCCTCCCCCGTTCATGCTCTGTCTCTCTCTGTCCCAAAAATAAATAAACGTTGAAAAAAAAATTTTTTTTTAAATAAATAAATAAATGAACTGTGCTTTCTCAGGGCACCTGGGTGGCTCAGTTGCTTAAACAGCCAACTCCTATTTCGGCTCAGCTCATGATCTCACAGTGCATGGGATCAAGCCCTGCACCAGGCTCCACGTTGATAGCACAGAACCTGCTTCACATTCTCTCTCTCTCTCTCCCTCTCTCTCACTGCCCCTCCCCTGCTCACACACATGCACTCTCTCTCTCCAAATAAATAAATAAACTTAACATAACATAAACTGTGCTTGGCTGGCTCAGTTGGTAGAGCATGCGACTCTTGACCTCAGGGTTGTAAATTTGAGCTCCGTGTTGGGTTTAGAAATTACTTTAAAAAAATAAAATAAAATAAAATGTGCTTTCTCTAGCCCTGAAAAAACCATGAGACTCCTAGGATGTGCCAAGAAACATGTACATTCAGCATGCTAGGCAACTGGACATTCTCTTTGATAAAATAGGCCAAGAAGACCGCTTAAGCTTATATTATAACATTAGATCCCAGTATGATTTACTTTCTTGGGATCCCAATGTTGTACAGAACGAGCTGATGTATGAATAAGAATGTTTATTAAAGCTAATATATCATGTTTGTTTCTCATGATACATAAAGGCAGATATCCTAACACCTGGGCTTATTTATATATATATATATATTTTTTCAACTTTTATTTACTTTTGGGACAGAGAGAGACAGAGCATGAACGGGGGAGGGGCAGAGAGAGAGGGAGACACAGAATCGGAAACAGGCTCCAGGCTCTGAGCCATCAGCCCAGAGCCCGACGCGGGGCTCGAACTCACGGACCGCGATATCGTGACCTGGCTGAAGTCGGACGCTTAACCGACTGCGCCACCCAGGCGCCCCCACCTGGGCTTATTTATAAGCCCATCTTGGGGAAGACCCAAGATGGCAGAGTACTCCTGGATTTCCTTCAGGCAATCTGAAAAACCTCCCCTAGATATCTTTGAAACGAAATCAAAGAAAATTACATTCTGCTTCAGGTTTCAGGAAAAAAAAACAACACATTTTTAAACTTCTTAATTTTCCTCCAAATTAGATATATAAATTTTTTTCATTTAAATGTATCAATAATTTCTAATCACAGCTGAATTCGATGAATGCTTTTTAAAGAAAATATGCTTTCTTTATCCAACAACTACGAAGACACCAGTTTCTACTAAGGAATTTCAACTCTGTGATTCTTACTATACTGCTAGATGTCCCATTTTGATGTCCTTGTTTTTATTCGAAGATGGTTGCTAAGGAGTAAAAATTCAAGGACTCTGCTCTTAACTGGGTCTGGATTAGCCCCCTTTACTTACTTGGAGACTATCACTGGCACAAATAAAGAGTTTCTCTTCTAAAAGCAAAGAGAAGCATAAGGTTCCTTTGCATTCCCAGTAAAAACATTAAAAGAGATGGTCTATAACAAATCACTATAGCCTGGGTGGCTTAACCAATGGGCATTTAATTCCCACAACTCTGGAGGCTGGGAAGTCCAAGATCAAGGTGTTGGCAAATCTGGCATCTGGTGAGGGCCTGCTTCCTGATTTGCAGATGGGCATCTTCTAGTTGTAGGCTCACATGGCAGAGAGCAGAGAGACAAGATCTCTCAATGTTCCTTCTACAAGGGCACTTATCCCATCATGAGGGCCCTACCGTCATGATCTAATTGTCTCCCAAAGGCTACATCTTCAAATATCTCCACGTTGAAGATTAGTATTTCAATGTATGAATTTTTGAGAGACACAAACATGCCGTCCATCACAGACAGAACGAGGCCATCGTGCTATTTCCCGCTTCCGAATAACTTCTAATTTCTCTTCATTGGATTTCGATCTTAGTTTCCACTGAAGAAACATGGTGGTGGGAGTAGCTTCTAGATGAAGCGCTTGAAAAATCTGTAAAAGTTGTTTCTCAACACTTCCTTCCCAAATAATCCATCTCCTGTGATCACTTTTTTCTCTCGGGGCAGAGTATCCTGAAGACAATTATGTCCTATATTCATACGGTACTTTAAGGTTTACAAAATACCTCTGCATTCATTCGTAATTCACTTGCAAGGTTCAACATGCAGTGCGGCATTTAGGAAAACAAAACAAAAACAATACACTACCGCCAGCTTTGTCCCTGCTCTCTGAAGATGAAAACTTTGCTTAATCTGCCTGAGTTGGAGTTTCCTTAAGAGGATTTAGTTCAGGTATTCGCAAGGATTTTTTCCAGTTATAAAATAAAGCCCCGAAAGATACACCAGAATTATCCTGTTCTTCTAACCAGAAGGGTAAAAAAGTTCACATGGGTGAACGGGCTGACCCAACGCTCCTTACTGAACACGCGTCCAAGTTTTCTCTCCTAGTGCTAAACTTCCGCGTTATAGGAGGCACTCCCCTTCTAGTAATAAATAAGATCACATTGTGCCCCTGATTCATGCTCTCTGATGATTTCCTCTTTCACATAGAATAAAACCTAAAATCTTCACTATGCATTACAAGGTTTTACACGATCTAGATCCTGCCAAGCATTTATTCAATTACTAGCTTCCAGCCGCCTGAAGCTTTTTTCTATTCTTTTAACATGCCAAGGTCATTTTTACTTTAGGGTCTTTATGTAGCTTTTCCCTCTGCCTGGAATACCCTTTCCTTAGATTTTTACATGGCTGTCATTCAGGCCTAGGTCTCAGCTCAAATGCTACCTCCTTGGGGAGGCCTTCCTTAGTTGGCCAATCTAAAGTAGTACCTACATTCACTATCACACGGTTTCATTTTCTTCAAGGCATAT